ACCAAAAACCGATTCGTTTGTAAAGTCAACCTTTTTTGATGATATTTTGTAATATCTCGGCCAAATAATGTCCGATTTGGGAATTTTATACCATTTTGGACTCGTAAGGATCAGTACTATCGATTGGCATCAAAAAACTGAAAATCTAAATTTTTACCCAAATCAACAAAATGGCAAGGGGTTACATCACGTTTTTTCTCATATTCGTGGTCGGCTCGAAAATCAAAACTTTTTTGATGATTTTTATTGAATATCTCGGGTAAATACTGTCAGATTTTAAAATGTTTTACCTTTTTGAATTCGTACTGATCCCTACTATCAATCTGCATTCAAACATTTTAAAAATCGATGGGTTAAGAAAAATGTTTGACCAAAAACCGATTCGTTTGTAAAGTCAATCTTTTTTGATGTATTTTGTAATATCTCGGCCAAATAATGTCCGATTTGGGAATTTTATACCATTTTGGATCAGTAAGAATCAGTACTATCGATTGGCATCAAAAAACTGAAAATCTAAATTTTTACCCAAATCAACAAAATGGCAAGGGGTTACATCACGTTTTTTCTCATATTCGTGGTCGGCTCGAAAATCAAAACTTTTTTGATGATTTTTATTGAATATCTCGGGTAAATACTGTCAGATTTGGAAATGTTTTACCTTTTTGAATTCGTAGGGATCCCAACTATCCATCTGTATTCAAACATTTTAAAAATCGATAGGTTAAAAAAAGAGGTTGACCAAAAGCCGGTTCGTTTGTAAAGTCCATTTTTTTGATGATTTTTTGTATTATCTCAGCCAAATAATGTCCGATTTGGGAATTTTATACCATTTTGGATCAGTAAGAATCAGTACTATCGATTGGCATCAAAAAACTGAAAATCTAAATTTTTACCCAAATCAACAAAATGGCAAGGGGTTACATCACGTTTTTTCTCATATTCGTGGTCGGCTCGAAAATCAAAACTTTTTTGATGATTTTTATTGAATATCTCGGGTAAATACTGTCAGATTTGGAAATGTTTTACCTTTTTGAATTCGTAGGGATCCCAACTATCCATCTGTATTCAAACATTTTAAAAATCGATAGGTTAAAAAAAGAGGTTGACCAAAAGCCGGTTCGTTTGTAAAGTCCATTTTTTTGATGATTTTTTGTATTATCTCAGCCAAATAATGTCCGATTTGGGAATTTTATACCATTTTGGATCAGTAAGAATCAGTACTATCGATTGGCATCAAAAAACTGAAAATCTAAATTTTTACCCAAATCAACAAAATGGCAAGGGGTTACATCACGTTTTTTCTCATATTCGTGGTCGGCTCGAAAATCAAAACTTTTTTGATGATTTTTATTGAATATCTCGGGTAAATACTGTGTGCATTCAAACATTTTAAAAGTCGATGGGTTTAAAATAGTGGTTGACCAAAAACCGATTCATTTGTGAAGTCAATCTCTTTTTATTGTTTTTTTGTAATATCTCGGCCAAATAATGTCCGATTTGTGAATTTTATACCATTTTGGACTCGTAAGGATCAGTACTATCGATTCGCATTACAAAATTAAATTCTCATTTGTTACCAAATTCAACCGTGGTCGATTTGAAAATCAAAACTTTTTTGAGAAGGAAGGTCCTCCTGGTGCCCACGCAGTTCGAGTTTGTTTCCGATAATCGATAACTTCCGGGTCCTCTGAGATGATAACAATAAGTATTGCAAGGTACTTTTTGCTATTTTTCCCGAATAAAATCTCCTATTTAAAACTATTAAGCAGGTCGATAGTCTCAGTCTGTAATCTTGATTTAAATTCTTTTTTATAATTCACGACTCATGTCGTAGTTCAGGCGGAGGTTAGGAAGGGGATGCATCGATATTCGTGCGAAAAATAATACACAGGTTGCACGATGTAATTTTAATGAAATTCGAACTTTTTTATACTTATTATTTCTTTTATTTAGTATATTTTTGTTTCGTTCTTAGAATTTAAAGCTTTAATAACTATAAAAATGTTTGTTCTTATATTTTAACTGTACCAAGCAGTGCAAACATAATTAAATTATAGTTAAATCTAATTTAAAAGTACATTTATGCAACAAAAATGCAATTTGGTCGACAACGTGGGTGAAATATGAGCTTCTGCATGCGCTTATATTATTTATTCATTGTTATTACGATTAGCTTCATTTTGTGTAGCGATAAGTAGATTAAGTTAATTTAAAACTCACATTTGGAGTGCCCACACGGGTTCTTAATTTTATAATTATTAATCAAAAATAATACAATTATAAATATTATAATTATTAAACAATAATATAAAAACGTACCAAGACATTACTTTGTTAATTGTATCAATTCGTTTGTATAACAGGATAATTTACTAACAATACACAGAGTACAAGAAACAAATGGTATAAAACTTGCAACACAGAAACGACCAAAATACACAAATCAAAAATACAAAAAAAAAACAACTTAAACCAGTTAACTCACCTAACAGCACACTTTGGATACAAGCACAATATACGAGCGTTCCGCATTCTGAGTGAGTAGAGAGTGAGTGTTGTGGTTAATAAACGCTGTGCCTTACAAAATAAAATAAAAAAAAAAATAGCGCACCTAAGGTGGCTGCTATACACAAAAACGCCGACACCCGGGTGGTAGACAGCTCAGAAGCTACAAACTGAGCTCGACTACCTGCAAAATGTCATTAAGCAGAGAAAGCCTTACACCGCTACTCACTCAGCGAATATTAAAATTATAACAAACAAAACCACTAATAAAGTTGAACCTATTGCCGGAGTCAGCCTGCCGAAGTCAAGAGAATGTGTCCACAGGATTGAAAGCCCCTTCTGCGAATATACGTGCAGACACTGCACAGCCAGCCAATAAAAAATAAAAATTTTAAAAGTAATAATTTTCACTGAGAGAACGAGTCCAAGGTTGAAAAATCTGCCGCTAGCGTTATTAATAACGTCAAAGTAATAGATCATAGGGAAAATTTAGAAGATATTGCCATTTTATTGCTAATTATAACCATTGTGTCCATTATTTCGTTAGCGTTAAAAATTTATGCTATGCATAATGAAGAATTAAGAAACGCTACTTGATTAGGGCTAATGAGTTAGATATAATATAAAATCTCGAAAATTTTAAAAATTTGAACAGAGAATAAAGCATAGTATATATATATATATACTACCAAAAGTTATGGAATGGACAGTTATAGCGCGACAAATAAATGATTTTAAAGAGAAGTTTGAAAAGTCTTATAAATGTGTCAACAAAGACACAACACTCAAAGTAGATACGTTAATATTCCATATTAATGCGTTAATAACCCAATACAACAATATTGTTGATATTGTTACCAAATATAACGATAAACTTACAACAGAACATGGGAAGCAGTGTCAAAAACTTTTACAATCGCTAAATACAAGATTGAAAAATAGTGGCATCAAAAGAAACATCGAGATAAACATTCACGATGATTTAAAACTTTATGCTGAGTTTAATGAAAGTCAACTTGACGAATTGAAGGAATCAAAGCCAATAATCGACACAGAATCTGACAGTGAACTTGAGACACTAAAGGAATCACAAAAATAGCACAACAAGCCCTAGACAGGGAATACGTAAGACAAATTTCGTCTACAATCCCTGAATTTGATGGTTCAAAACAGTTTTTTAACAGCCTTGCGCATAGTTGAACGAACAAAAGGTGATCAAGAAGACCTAGCCGTCGAAGTTATCAAATCAAAGATAACTGGTCCCATTTTGTACAAAGTACAAGATGTAACAACAATTTCTGCTATAATCCAGAAATTGAACGGTAACGTCAAAGGTGAATCCCCTGACGCACTAAAGGCGAAACTGTTTAATATCAAACAAAAAGGAAAAACAGCTTCACAATATACTGTTGAGATTGACAACTGCCCAAAAGCAACTCGAAGCAGCATATATTGATGATGGCCTAGACCCTGACAACGCAGAAAAATTATCAACCAAAGAATCAATTTCTGACATGACCAAAAATTGCTAACATGATAAGCTTCGTATTATCTTAGAAGCAGGAAACTTCGTCACTTTCAATGATGTCATGGGTATATATATCCATTGCAGCACTGAAATGTACCACAGAGGCAGAGGTAGAGGTAATAATTACCAAAATACCCAAAGAGGTAGACCAAAATATCGCGGTAAATTTTACCAAGTCAAAATCTTGATAAAGCTTCTAAGCCCAACGTATACGACGTCATTAAAAACGACGATATATTTTAAAACATGGTAAAAAGATTGTTGCAAGAATTGAGATTAGCGACCTTTATACTAATGAAACTTTCGACTTAGGTCAATTTTTCGAAAGGCTTGAAAAAGAAGCCGGTATAATAGGAATTAGCCAACTCAAAGTGGCACCGAGCGAAAAGATCTTTGAATTCATTTCAATTGATACTTTTAAACAAATGGGCAATAAAAATCTTAAAAAACGTAGAGTAGCGCTACTCAAGCCGGTGAGCCTAATAACGAAAAAGAAAAAGAAGCTATAATGTTTACATTTATATGTTTACAAGGAGGCCACAATGGCATAACAAAGACTTCAAATAAAATCAAAAGACACTACTATTGGAAAAAAATGACGCGTCACATAAAAGAGTGCATACGTAGATGTCAAAAATGCCAAGAGTCAAAAACAACGACTCACACAAAAACCTATGACCATTGCAGAAACGCCGATAAATGCGTTCGACAGAGTGATAGTGGATACTATCAAGGAAGAGGGATACGAAGCAAACAAAATAATCTTCGGGAATGTACAGGTTACGAACTATCACTTCCATTTCTAATATTTACATATTTTGCACTCTTACTAATAAACATTTTGATTTTGTTGCAATAAGGAAAATTCAAAACAAAATTCAAAAGGAAAGAAAAGAAAATATATAATTTTACATTATCTAATATAGACATATCATTAGCTAAATATCTAGTATGGACACATTATTACCTATTTATCCGAAATGAGTTCTCTTGTGTCCTGCGCTTTCAATTCCATTGTAGCTGTTTAAGTTTAAGTTGCCGCTCTTGTATTTCAGTTAGGGTCGGTGAAAGAGGCAGTTCCAACGAGCTCTGAATATCATCTCCCTGAAGATTAGGTAAGCACAAATCGCGCATGAGTACATTGAAAGCCTCTATATTATTTTTGAGACGCTTGCGGGTCCGCTCAGCATGCTCCTCAAGTTGAGTACAATGGTCTCGCAGTGAATTGTTGTAAACATCTAATATATGGGCGTAGGCTTGGTAGCCGCTTTTTTGTTGACACAAGCAGTTTTGCAGTTCTTTTTTGCAATTGTTTCTTCGCCATATTTCAATGCACATACAACCCATTCCCTGATCAAGCTGCGAAGACTGCTGACTCAGCGCATAAAGCTGTTGCTGGTGTAATTCAAGCTGCCTTTGCAGGCCGGCTTCTTCCTCGAACACGAGGCGTAGCTGATTCTCTATTGAATTAGTCAGTTGTACCTGTTCGGCCAATTCCATTTCCGTATTCTGTAGATCCTGCTGCAGAGTAGCAATGTCCTTGGCGCTGGATAATTCATCCTGAGTATCGCTTGTAATCTGTGTGTTCTTACGAAAATCAAAATCGCACATGAAAACTTCATTCCCCATCGGTGCAAAGTCCAATAGAAAATCCAATATCAGCATCAAATGGTGCGCAGAAGCGCTGGGCACCAGTAAAAAAGATTTGTTTATTTTGTGTGGATATTTTAGCAGCTGCATCGCATGAATCGTCTGCTCAATGTAATTTTCTTTATCCAATGGCTTCAGCCGAACGCCAGTAAATGCCAGCAAATGGCTGAGAATGCGCACAAGCTCGTTCACGTTCATTTTTTGAATGCCCCGCTGTGAGATCGAATTAAAAGCAGTTATTTGCTTGACATAGGCCAAAATGCGATCTTCTATTTTCTTCATGGCGTCTTTGTTAAAGTCTAACTTACGCCTAGGTAGGCGACCATTCTCCTTGTGAGGCATCACAAACTCTGTCGGTTTCGACACAGATGTCACGGGATATTTGGAGGCGGATGCCGAACGAACGTTCGTGTGTATTGGCGACTGCAATAATTCCTTTGTGCGTCGAGGCTCTGAATAAAGGGTGTTGGACATAGGGCCCATTAAATTAGCGCATTTTGTAACATTTATTGTTGGCGCAGGAAGAGGCCTCTTTAGTTGCCTTTTCTTGGATGTGGAACTCGGCAGTTGCTTCGTGTGCAACGGTGACTCCAAGAGTTGCTTAGTGGTGCGGGGTTCTGTGGGACACCTGTAACACGATATTGCAATACTGTTTAGCTTCACTCTTAAAACTTGAAAGTACATACCGTAAATAAATGTTGGGACTGGCGGCCTCCATCACTTATTAATAATTTTTTTCTGAATTCGTTCAAGTTGCTTAAATGTCAGCACTTTTATAATTTATATTGCATCAATCAGCGTTCTTCTGTGACGCTAAATAATTTTTGGACGCACCGGGCATGCAGCATGCAGCGTTGCCAGATATTCAAATATATATTCGATAATATACGATAATTATCGACTGCGCAATGTCAATAAATAATTCAAATAAAACCTATCGTATTTGATATCCAGGTAAAGCAATTGATTTAACTAATTCAAATTAATTGAATTGTTTTAGCTTATTTGCCTATTGTTTATTTTAATGGTCAACTCAAGAATGTGCACTGGACTCTCGTGGCTCCCAGGGCTGACACAATTGTCTCAGATACTGCAAATACTAGAGACTTTAAATCTTAAATACATATTCTCCTAACCCTGAAATACACAATTTTAATTTTGAAAACGCAGATTAAAATCGTTTTTTAAACTTTTTTTTAAACACCGACTCTGGTCATGAATACTTTGATCTATGGGCACTCCCGACTACAGTTCTTTAATCTGCTTTTTACCATTTTTAATGTTCAAGGTATACAAATTATAAAATGGTTTAAAAACATTGTTAAATTAACTACTTTCTAACAATATTTGAATAGCTGTGATACATTTTGATGCACATACACGAACTTACGCTTCCAAATTCATCTATTCAATGATTTGGCGTTGGTACAGAACAGTTTCCGGTAGTCAATTTCGCATATCACTAAATAATTTTGCATTTATTTTATATAATACAGTACATGTTGCATTAAACTAATTAAATATATGTTTATATATAATAATCATATAATTTATAAACTTTATACGCCTTCATTACATAACTTTCGCTTACACAACTACATTTATGTAGTTGTTCTCAAATTGCATTCAGTTTGCAAACATACCCAAGTTTACAGCTGGATTTTTGCTCTAAATTTGTTAACAACAATTATTGCTATTTTATGAATTTAAGTGTGCCGTTACAATTTTTGAAATATAACATGTTTAGTTTCTTGTAAGAGTTGTTCTCATGATATTTAACCTTCCTTACATCTTGTGTGTTGTGTGTTGCTATGTGCTAAATGATTGCTTTACAAGTTAAAAACCTTTATCTATGCATTCATAAAGATTGCACTTCACAATATTCAACTGATGGCCAAATAAATGTTTGTTTGAATTATGACAACAGCAATTTGAATTATTTACAACATTATATAAAACTATAAAAGAACATAAAACTTTACATTCCAAGTTTATTACTGAAGTATTTGCATTGTATATATTTATATATTGATTTATTTGTGGACCGTTTGAATGACTAACAAGTTAAAATTTAATTTCTTTCAAAAACCCTCTACAATGCTTTCTGTTCGGGCGTGTGTGTAAATCTCAGTTGTTTTATTATCAGTGAATAGAGCATAGGCCGAAACTTAACATGGAGTGCAAGGATTGAGCCAAATAAGCCTAAAAAATGTATGTATTTCTTTAAAAATAGCTATGCAAACGCAGGAATAGGATGCATTTCCGCAAGGGAAATGTGAACATACTGTCTACATTATATAGTTATACATACGTATATGCATGTAGGTATATGTATAATAATAACAGTAACTATCAACGTAACGGACGACAACGGGACGCTCTCAATTGGAATTAAACATTAATCAACAAACTGACCACAAATCGACTACCACTCATTCCTGGCAGAAGCCCTCAGTCTCCTCAATGGCAAAGGTCAATTTTTCCACCAGCTGATCGTAACTTTTATAAGGCGGCAAGTCTAGACGATTGAAGCACGTATGGGAGCGCGGCAGCCAGGTCTCCTTGCCTACCTTCTCGATGCAGAAACGCTGCGGCCCATTCGAGCCCATCAGCTCTGCAAAGCCACCGACCGGAACTCGACATGTACCCGTTACAAACTGCAATAGACGGGCTCGCTTCTCATTGTCCGTTTCGCGTACAAACTGAAATGAAGTTGGATGGATAATTAGAAAATTAATAGCGAAAATTGATAAGATGATCTCACCTGCCAAAACCAGACAACTTGTTTGGAATTGCGATTGTAATGTCTGTATATTGTGTTGCGCTGCCAGTCCTCAACATCTACGTCCTGCATACCGCACAGTATCAGCTCCAACTCGCGCTCGTCAAAGTACTTGAGCCACTCTAGGGGCACAACTTCGTTGAAGCCCTCAAGGAACGTCTTGGTCTGCTGCTCAATGCCACTATATAATATTGAAATGGAAAAAATAACATCAATACATGTACAAGGAAGCAAGGATTGAATTAACCAATTACCGGGTCATACGCCACTCGGTCATGAGCGTTATGTACTCCTCCTTATTCTCTTCTGTGAGGCGCTCCTTCTCGCCATTCTCTTTCAGCTCGTGGTGTATTATCTGGCCTAGAACTTCGAAGTCAACGCTGAACCACAGCTCTAGACCACACTCGTCAATGTTATTGTCTCGCACCCAGATAAGCGAGTTGTAGAACTCGGGATCAATGGTCTCAATGTCCTTGATGGTCAGCTTCTTATTCAGCATACGCTTGTAGAAGGGCATCGTAAAGCCGCTGTAGATAAAACGACCATGGTACAGGGCCATGGCAATGAACCGTCCAATGAACTTGAAATACTGCAAGTGGTCCGGGTTCACATAGGACGCGGGATTGATTTGTAGGCTATAGTTGTTCTTGTTTGCGTACTCGAACAGACAGTACATGGGATTGAGCACCTCGTGCGACAGCAGAAAGAACCACTCGCGAGACACGCCGCCATAGTCCAGACCCTCCTCCCCGCGAAAGATTATGTACAGACGGCGGCGCAGCTCATAGGCGGGTAGGCGCATAATCTGATGATATGAGTCCTCGAACAGCGTCTGCCGTGTGACGGTGATCTTGATATGCGAGGGCAACGCATTGCTCTGACACAGGTAGCGGAACTGGGACAGCTTCCAGCGGAAGCTGCGCTCGTAAGCGCGCGGCACGCCATAGACGCCTTTGGCGCCCTTCGGCGCACCAGGCCGGGGGTCTTCGAAGGTTGTGCGCCGCGTGTTATGATCAACAAAAAAGCGCTCGCCAGCAGCCGTGTAGCGGATTTCCCAGCCCGGTGGCAGTGGACCCTCGTTAATCAGGCTCACCTCTTGTCCCTGAGTACGTGGATCCTCCCATTGGGTGGTGCGGTTTTTGTGATTTACAAAGTAGACTCGGTTATCAGATTGCACCTTTTTCTCCCAGCCGTCGGGCAGCGGACCCAGCGCATCTTCGTCATCTTGCGTCACTGGCGCTGTCACAGCCGTTGGTTGTTGCTGCTGTTGTGAATAGAGGTACCGCTGATTGCCTTGCGCCACAACATGGGCGCGCTGGCCCTGCCAGTGCTGGAAGTGCATCAGGCGCTCGCTGTTCGGCCGTTGCCAGGTGGTCTTTCGCGTGTTGTGGTCCACATAGTAAACGCGACCGCGCACATCCTTTCGTATCTCCCAGCCGGGCGGTAACGGCGTCGGCTTTTCCCAGTACGTCGAACGCGTGTTGTGATCGACGTAATAGCGACGTCCGTACTGATCCAAACGTATTTCCCAACCGGCCGGCAACAGCTCATCTTCCGCTGGTTGTGTCTGTAGCTGCGTATCTGACCCATTGCTTACAGGTATACCAGCGCCACAAGCTGGTTGATCCGGCGTTCCGTTCAGCATGTAAGTTCCCTGTGCGCCATTCTCCATCGGCCCATTCGTATAGAGTGGCGCCTGGGTCAGTGGACGTTGCTGTGCCGGCACTGGTGCCGGTGGTTGCTGTGGGTAGGATGCTGTCTGCGGCACAGCCGCTGCGGTGCCATTAGCCAGGCGCAGCGGCTGCTGAGGCTGTGCAACCTGTTGCTGCTGCTGCTGTTGCTCCCAGACTGGTGGTGCAGCTGAGCGTCGTTGTTCCGAGGATATACCGTTAGACTGTGGTGAACGGGTAGCCGCCGGCGGCTCCGCATTGCTGGAGCGCAGACGCATTCGTGCACGCACGCCTCCATAGATCATACAGCTTCGTCCAGCGGCGGCAGCATCGCTCACCGCAGGGTTGACCGCCTGCACGGCAGTGCCATTTTGTTGCAGCTGGACTACCTTGCTCATGTCCAGCTTAAGACCATTGAGAATAGCCACCAGTTCGCCACTTTTGGTTTGTCGGTTGTCCGACTTGGAGGTCACAAACAGATCTATGGTCAGTTCGAGGTACTCGCAGCGCCCGTTGTAATGGTGCAATATATGTGCCAATTGAATGACGCGCTCCCCTAGCATTGCATCCTTGCGAAAGCTCGAATGGTCCAGCACCTTGAAGTGCAGCGTCGAATTGGGCGTAATCTGAGCATGTGTAAATTCAAATTAAATTTAGTTGCACTAGTTTTTGTCTAAAGAGTTTTCGCCTCTCACTCACCAGAACTGTGAACTCCTCGTTCCATTTTGGAAGATAGCTGTTCTTCACCAAATCTGTCTTACGCTTGCTCTTGCTGTCTATCAACAGCTCCACATAGGGATTCGGTTTTAGAAATCCATTATTGCGCAGCGAAGCCTCCTCAACTATAAAATGCAAGCAAAAATCAAATTGTATTTGCAACATACTGAGAGTTTTTCATATACTCACTTGTCACGCTTAACTGATAATATCCTTGATTGCTGTTCCCATTGCTGCTGCCACTTCCACTCGCAGTGCCACTCGCACTGATGCTGCTACTTCCCGCTGCTGCTGGGGCACCAGACGTGCCCGGTTGGTTTGGATTGCCAGCGATGTTGTTTACGGTTTGTGGAGCGTCGAGGGCGCCGTTGCCAGCGCGAGAAGCTGCTGCACCTGCTGCCTGAACATTACCATCGGCCATTTATTGGCTGCTCCTAGCTACTAGCTAAACTTCGAGCCTATTATTCCTGCCCAGCTGTTCGTCGCCGTTAGGGGCTGTGGGGAGAAAGCAGCGACAAATTGTTAATTTTCGCTCTAACGATTTGTAGCTCTACAAAAGGTATAAAAAAAAATAGATTGCGACAGCAAATTTGATAAGATTGCCAGGCCAATGATTCGCCAACAAGTAATATAAATACACACAAAGAGCTCGCGAGAGTCGGGAATGGTTTATAAAAACAAGCCACAAACCTATACAAATACATATGCTTTTA